TTACCTCTGATATAGGTCTTCATTGTCTTTCCGATTTCTCGGAAAGGTAGAATTCAGAAGTACGAAGATGTAATGAAACCCTGATAAATTATCAGTGTACAAACGAATCGTAAACTATACATCATCGCCCACCTCATTCTATCCGATAGAATTGGTTGGACAGGATTGAAAAGGTCAGGGATGCGTTTCGTGTAGGTTTTCCCTTCTCACTTTTCTGTGCCCTATGAAAGAATTTCGCTCTAATTTGTTGCATGAAAGCCGACACCGCGTATTTATCTGACTTGAAAGCTCGCTTGAAGGTTACAGATAACAAAACATTGCAATTAATTACAAATTAGTTATCTCTGATGTTCGAGTGCTTTTAGTGGAATAAACTAAATAAATGTTTGATTAATCTCTTGATATTATTCACGTCAATTAAAAGTTTTTAAACAAAATTACTTAAAAAAAATTAATATTACTTAACAAAATTACTTTAAAAAATTAATATTAGGTAAATATCTTTAAGTTTATAATAACAATATTAATATTAAATAAAGAACAAAGGCTAACTGTATTTCCGCAAAATTATATCAACGTTTTATTTCGTTCAGCTCTGTCGAGAACGTCTAATCGCTTGCGCGAATCTCCGCGGGTAGTCTAACTTAATCAAGCCTATCTGGCTCAAATAGGAGCTTTTATCGCATTTAGCGCCTATAATTGTGTTCTACGCAAGAACGGGGTTAAGGTCAAAAATACAAAGCTGGTAACCATCAACCAAATATACGATTTTCCAAAGATCAACGCGATAAAATCCGAGAGAAATCTCGATTACTCTGATATAAAAATTTATTTTCTAATTGTATGGTCATTCTGATGATCGGAAAATTTGAATTTGATTAAGTAACAAGTAGCTGTTCCAAACATCAACATTTTGCGATTTCTGGATATTAAAAGACAGTAGTAAGAGAGAGAGAGAGAGAGAGATCGAATTCCGGACAAGACAAATCGATTTTTCGCCATTTCGTTAGCCGGAAACCAGGCGGCTCGACAGCTGCAGGGTGAGTGCACCTGGCGGTTTATATAGGGTGGTTCTCTAACATTTGCGCGTTCTTTTTTTTTCGCTTAGATCGAATGTGACATTGCTTTCCACTTCGCAATCGACAAATACTAAGTCAAATCAATTTTTTACTACAGCGGACTCACTTTTATACAGAAACACTTACATATCGAACATATAACTACATACATTTGTTAATTTTACGACTCTTAGATATAATTGTACTATTTCGATAAAAATGAAACGATTTAAAAAAATTTATCTATTAATTCTTAATTATGATTTCATTTTTATCTCATATCTTACGTATGTTTCCTCGCTTTGTTCTTTCTTCTCAACATTGAATACATTTACACCGCAATTATGCTTGTCGCAAAAATTATTAGTGCTATCTCGCACCAATTAAGATTGCATTATCGTTTATTTCTCTGATCCACTTGTAGCATTTTATTGTATACTCTCGGTTGTAAGGAATCGTCTCAGTCCTAGCTTGCATACAAAAGAATTTATTTCGACATTTCGAAAGAAGCCCTTTCTCTGAGGAACACCCTATATAGATGTTTCTCGGTGGTGTATCGTTAGTAACGTTAACCGACTAAAATCTTCCTTCGGTTGCGCATTCGTACGAGTTCATACGAGCCTGCTTTGGCTTCGGGCCTTATATGTCAAAACGAGGAGAGTAAGAGAGAGGGGGGAGAGAGAGAGGGGGGGGAGAGGGAGAAAGAGAGAGAACGCGAACAGCTGTGCGGTCCCTTTTGCGGAACGACTTTTAAAACGGCTGTTCGTTCGCCCAGTTATCGTCTTTCACGACTATGAGAAAATGTTCTTTCGTACGGTGTGTAATTTCGAGCCTATGCTGCTTCTCAGCAATGCTGCGTTTGCGTCGCATCGCATCGCATCGTTCTTTATTTCGGAACTGAATTATATTTTCGCTCGGAAATGTGAATTACGCAATCCGAGATAGAGGAACAATGAGAAAATTTGCGCAACACGGCCAAAGACTTTCGAAGACGCGACAGATGAATTCCTCACAACAACCATCGCTGAAGGAATGAAGCTGTGACATAACGATGAGAGAGAGAAAGAGAGAGAGACAGAGAGTGTGCTATCGAAAGAGTGCGACAGAAAGAGAAGGGATGAGTCAGAGTATACGCAGATACATTTAAATCTTTAGTAATGATTTGAAAAGCACAGAGTTATTTTTCTACCTCGTACATATCTGATATACATGTCTGAGATCGAGCACTCCGTTAATTGTTTAAAGTTATCATACATGTATCGTCACGAATAAAAGTTTCAAAGGCGCATCATATATCAAAATCTTCAAGCAAATTTTTTTTTTTCGAGCATGCTACGAATAACATCTCAAAAACTCAACATCTCAAGAGCGTTTTAACGACTACGTAAATTGTGACATAAGTACGCAAAAAGACATAAAAGTTTTCTTTATCAAATATTATCATGGTATACATGCTTCGTTATTTCTGGATCTTTTTTCAGTTAAGAACCTACACTCTTATACTATTTAATTTCCATGTTTATTCAGCAGATTCTTAATATCTCAATGAAAACGCTTTAGATCATTGCGTGCGATTCTCGTTCAATTTAACGTCTGTCACAGCTGCAAAAGTCGATTACGAATTTCACGGCGAGGTCAGGTATAAAAAAAAAAAGAAGAGAACGTTAATTGACTGCGCATGGTTAAATTTCGCACGAGAGTGGCCGGCACCGGTCATCCGAGCGACAAGAGTAGTTCTCGCCGATCGGAGTCCAGTGCGGTGTCTTTTGCGGAGAATTAAAATGCCTGTCATCGAGCACGTGCTTACCTGAGATCGCATTTAACTTGCCGGTGGAGCACGAGCGCCACGGTCTTTCGTACAATGGCTGCGTTCAGCAAAGAAACAACCTAATCAGTTAATACTTAGTGATTCTTTAACGTGATTGGTTCCTACATTCAGCTCCAGCGAAGAACTAAAGGCAAGAACCAATTATATCAAAGAATCGCTAACAGAGTTGGTTTTTTTTTGTTAATTAATAATTACGTCTAATATATGCGCGACAATGGATCTGTGAAGCCAGCACGACATTCTGTCGATATCAAAAAAATTACAATAGTTCCAGTAGTACTTTTCATAGTTCCACAGTTCTGCAGTATACGGTTGTATAAAAATTGACTCCAAATTGACTCAACAAAATAAAAAATCCTTATAGGATTAAAATAGATGCAAAATTAAGAGGTAATGCATTAGACTTTTTACTAAAATTGGAAGACAGTTGAACACTTAACTTTTTTTTATTTTTATGTAAAGCCCACTGCATCATCTCCTGATTTTGTGTCTACTTTAATGTTGTAATGATTTTTTTATTCCGTTCAGTCAATTCGGAGATTTTTATACGACTGTAATGTCCATAACTTGGTCACTCCATCGCATGCATCCCCTTAAAGTGATTGAAACAATTTATAGCAGATGACTGTTGTACTGCTCCTACATTTATGTTAAACCCGAGCAACGGATGGTGCTTGCCCAAGAAAAAACCCAACACGTTTGCGATGACTCCGCATATGAGGCTGCCTTTTACCTCTTTCTCTCTTCCTCACGCGTCTTTTAGAAGAAAATAACGCACGTGCGGAAACCGCAAGGAGATTACTCGTGGGAAAATAGAACTTTTTTAAGAGCATATAACGGACCATGCTAGGAAAATGAACAGACCACTAGGCCGAAGTTACAGTTAATGCTCTCGTTTCGCGATACGATGTCTTTCTTCTACTTCTTCTTGTCCTTCACGACGCCACGCTGCTTCTCTATCGCAGCTTGCTTCGTTACCGGCATTCTTAGACACGTAAAGAAAAGAAACCGCTATAATCTTCTCATTTATAAAACGAGAGTGCCGTTTCATATTGAAAAACGAATTCGCATTCCTCCGATGAAAATGGCACTCGTAAATATTCAAAGTACTTGAATGTACGACATATCTGAATTCCGCGCGCGTATATCGTATATACATGTATACCGTATTCTCACATTCTTCCTACATTATCTCATTCAGAATAACAATATTTCGTATAATATTATTACCATACTACATTAAACTAAATATACATTTCGTTATAATAAATTATACAACTTCGTTTACAATATGCAATATACATATATGTTTATATTTCGTTGACAATACGTATCGAAAACTCAGTTCTATCCTATATAGTAAAAAATTTGTAAAATTCAATAAAATTTTGTTTACATATAATTTTAAAAACATGGTACTGTTCAAAATAATTACTGTAAAAGAGTTATCACTTCGAAAGACGTTCATGAAGAAAAACATCATCGTGTTACATTCTCCGTCTCTGATTTTTTAATGTTATATTCGTATACGTATTTTATATCTGCAATTTATCACAATAACCTAAATATTATTGCAATTAAATACCTACAATACCTATTTATCTTTGTATGTATCAAGAGTCAATTATTGACAATAATCATATACAATAATTCTCAATATTTTAAACATTAGATTCAATTGATTCTCGTATAAACGATCATAGACAGTTCTCGTATAAACGATCGTAGACAGTTTTATAGTTCTGGCATTTGATGGTTTTTCAAATCAACAGCACAACATTGTTATACTCATTCATGCTTAGAACAAAGACATTTTTAACTGTCACATGCTTTTTCCGAACGATTTAGATGTGATCTTGTTTATCATTTGAATTTGATGTGTTATATTTATAGTATTAATTTAAATCCATATTGTTTGATCATTTAAGATTCTTATGATTGCGCGTTCTCTTGGTTTTTACGCTTTTCATTTTTAAAGTCAATTATATTAATTTTGAAATTTTACATTTCAAAAATGATTGAAACACCAAAAAAATCTGTTTGCCTGAAAAGTCGACTTATCTAAATGGACGCATCGGTGTTGCATTCTTGAGAATGGGAGCGGAGTGTCTTACCTGTGACAAGAGCTTTGGGAAAGTGTGCGCGTGACTGTTGTGTCCGGTTGGTCGCTCCGCTCTCTGTTGTTGCTGTTCCTGCTGTTGCTGCGCCGCAGCATCCGATCTAAGATCGTGTCTCCATCTCAATACCCCCATCATAACGTGCGGTCACGATAAAAACCGCCGTTTAAAAAACCACTTCTTCCGATTGATCGACGTTGCGCTCGGATTCACAACCAACTTCACCTTGTTCAGAGATATTCTATGCGTCTACGTTTTCGCTTTCGATCTGGATTCGTCGGACTTGAAATCTCGGATCCTGTCCAAGTTTCGTACCTTCTGAATGATTAGAAAATGTATTTTCTGCCCCAGCGCGAACACAAGTCCTTTCCCTCGTCTTTTCCCAAGCGGGCACGTGCGCATTTATTACCCGCCTGTTTTCAGAAGAACACCGACCGGTCAAGCGTGAAGCGTCAGCTGTATTACGGACCGGCGATATCTCGACGCTGACTTCGGATGTATAAAATTCAAGACTCCGGTCTTTGGTACGTGCTAACGTTCCTCAATCAAATTATACGAAGAAATTGGCGCCGATTGCATTCTACGCCGATTCAAAGCGGTGCGTTTTTCACGATTTAAAATTCCTCTCGATGAACGCATCGCCTGCTTTACGAAAAGAAGATGAATCCAAAAACGGTGTAGAATTTTACAGTGTCTTATCTGGTCTGAATGCGGCCGCCGTTGTCCAGCGCCGACGATCCTCGTCGCTGATCATGCTGACTGTCATTCCGTGTCGACTACTCCGAATTTCGCATTCCCGAAACAAGGTGCAACCTGTTTTCCCTCTTTCTCTCTCTCTCTCTCTCTCTCTCTCTCTCTCTCTCTCTCTTTCTTTCTTGTTTTACTTTACGCCGCAGCTTTCGCGAAAACGTCGCGTTCGTGCCGTTAGTAGGCGACGCGAGGTTCACGGAGCGAGGTCGGAATAGAAAGTCAGCGATCACGCAAGAAAATCACACGTCTTACACGGTGCAACGCGCGCGAGCGACTGCACGCGAGAGGATAACGCGCGAAACGAGACGGTAGTGACGGTGCTCGAACAGCACACCACGTGACCTCACGCTATGAGTACGAAGACGCGACTGGACGCGCGACTAGCAGCGAGCGGCAAACGCGATCGCCGTCTGCCAGTGCCGGATGGAGAGGAGCCTAAGGGAAGGGGACACGAACGTTAACACGAAAACCTTGGATTGTACGCTGGAGGAAACTGGAGCAAATTTCTTATGTTCCCGTCCATCGAAGGAAATGCCTCTGAATGAAATAAAATTCAATCACGTTGAATTTACAGTCTTCCTTACGAATAAAGGAGAAGTGAAAAGTTTTTTTTCTTTTCAACGTTCCTATTGAAAGCGTCTCGATTTGTTTCGAACTGCAATCGCCAATCATCTAAAATATTCGTGATGCGTCAATAGAGTCTCCGACGACAGTGCCATATATCGTCGTCATTATAAGATTACACAAATCGTTTTCTAAGACTTTCATGAGAGAATGTGAAACATAAAAAGGAATACGTATTTCTCCCACGCGTTGCTTCTATACATTCTCTCACGTACTCCTCATCGATTGAAAGCGATTCTTTTTTTCTAGGCGCCAAGCGAACGAATAACAACGACAATGAAGGGCGCCTTCCACCTATTCTACATCCGTCATTGCGGCGTACCCGGCGCCGTACCCCCCGTCTCGCCCGACAGTCCTAACTATGCCCTCTTCACCCACGGCGCATCGGTCTGTCGTTCTTAAAACTCCCACCATCGGACCGCAAACGTTGCTATGGTCGCCATCGAGCGCGTAAACTCTTCCTGAAACCGCACGCTCTTGTCTAGCCCGTAACTATTCCCAATCAATTAGGTCAGATCGTGCTCTTCGATGTTTTACGGTTGTTCGTACACAGCGGGTACTATATTTTCCAACCGGGCCAACTCGGCGACTGGCGCCACGTCGGGTCTTCAAAATTTCGAAAAGGCAAATTGGTATCGCAAAATCTCTTTCACGCTCTGGGACCTTTTGTGTTATTATACTACCTACAATGGTTCGTACATAAATCAACATGGAAACATTTTTGGCAAAACATCATATGTTGATTTACGTACGCGAATCACGTAGATACTAATTACGTAAGTTGCATATTAATTAAGTGTAATTAAGAAAATCAAGAGTAGAGACTGTAAATTTTTTTCGAACGTACAGGATGGAGGACCAACTATGCAACTTTATTCTAATTAGATCTGCTTATATTGATTCTGATGTATCTAAATTGTTATTCGCAGGGAATTTGCAAAATTTCTATTTATATTACAAAAGCGTAAATTTTTATAGGAAATAACAATCTCTAGTAGCACAGTGTTCTGATCGTGACACTGTGATAAACGCGGTGCTTCTAGATCGAAATTTGTACGCGTACGTGGGCTTTTCAAGAGCAAAGTGAGCCCTTGGCATCCGCATGGTAACGACAGGTGGTGCGGAAGGTGAAACCGAGAGGAAACGTAAGTTTGTGGCGAGAATCGAGGGGAGAAAACCAGAGGGAAAGAGAAAGAAGGGGGAGGGAGAAACAGAGAGAAAGAGAAAGAGAGAGAAAGGAGACGGAAAGAGAGAACGAGAGAGACCGGATGTCCTTTCGTGGTTGACTTATTTCGTTGTCGACAAGGCTTCCCGTTTCTTTGTGTCCACGCCTCTTTGTTTCGTTATTTTGTTCAACTTCCTGCGTCCAAAAATTCGAAAACGTCCCACTCTTCACCCACTCCCTCCCCCATTATTTACATACGGACATACGTGACGCTTCAAAACTGTGGACCTCGCAAGATAAACATTCTCTTAATGGTAACGATCAATCGTACAAGAGTTTTCTCTTGCAAAAATCGAATCCAAAGCACTAAATCGGTAAAAATCGTTCATGAATCGAACAATATTTTGCAGTCACGCACGCTAATAATAGCGAATGAATCGAATCGAAGAACGAATAAAGTTAGAAGGATAGTAGGAATTGTAGGTTGAATTGGATTAAATGAACAAATCGGATATTGCACTTGAAACTTGCTCATTGAAACAATTCTATAGATTAACCTCGTTTAAGGGATAAAATGTGGAATTATACTGATGTTACGGTAATTATGCCGGACGCCAGGAAGTAATTAACGCTTGGAAGCGTAGCGGTTACGATATATAATCATCTTTTATTGGGCGAAAGATTAGTTGAAGCTCGAGAAAAGCTGATAACCAAAAATGGATGAGTATGTGTAGCGGATACCGATATTGGTACTTTTTTCACAATAGAGTTCAGTTAGTAGATAACAAGTAGATTAACGAGTTGTAAGCAGCTGCAGTCTATGTAAATCGTTATCAACGGGAAATGGCTTAACATCACGAATCGACATTTAGTAATAACTCGATATCGATATAATAAAGATGAAAATTCTCCAATTCACATTCGGTACAATTCGGAATCATGTATAACTTTTAATACCTTTATTCATATAATTGTAAAAAAATAGTTGCAGTAACGTTATTACGAATCAAGTATAAAGAAAGAAAGGAAAAAGTGACAATTTCTTGATGAAAAATATTCTTGGTCTTCAAGTTGATTCAAGTTTCTAACATGATGTTCCTGCTTACGTATCAATTTGACACAACATTTCAATTTTAAATATGTATAAAATTATGAAGTCTTATTCAGGATTTTCTTAGATCCTCATTTCTTCCATCAAGTTGACAATAAACATAAATTGCAGCCTTTTATCACTATTACTCAAATACCAATTTTACATAATAATGCAGGTATATAATTTTAAATGCAAAATTATTTGTTTATTACTTATGGATGTACAGTTATCAGTCAGCCTTTTTTTGTACTTACTTGCCTCATTCCTTGATTATAGCTCACAAAGAGCACAATGATTATTTTTTATGGACGGAAAGACCTGTGACACGAAATCTACGATCTTCACGGCCACTGCACAGAGGGCCACGAAGATCGTACAAATCTGAAAATCTTCCCGGCCGTTTGGCCAGAGTACGATGGTTCGAAGCTACAACAACTTCCGGTGCGCCTCTACCTGTCCGACCGGAAGCGACGCCATTCCCCTCTACCTCGCCCTTTGCGCTGGAGCGCTCGTTTTATCGCGTTGCGCGAAATCAGCGATGCGTTTCGGAGAGTTTCGGTTCGCGTATGATGAACCATATAATTATTTACTACTTAAAGAATGCTCGGTTCTTGTAGGGATTGACGAATGTGCCGTTTAAAATAACACGGTGGAAAATGACAGGCAATTTCGTTTCCATCGTTAGATTAGCATGAGAAGCGAAGTTTTCTCTTTATGGTATTTCTTGAATAAATAGGTAATTCATGATTTCTCGATAATAATATCTTATACATAATTATTATATAAATAATTAATCATGTTACTCACTCGATTTCTTAAAGCAAAATACAAATAATCACAAAATGTAGAAATAATGGGAATATAATTGCACATATAATTCATATGATATTTGTTTCACAGTTACGAAAAAATATATATTCAAAAATACAAGAATTAGGAATGTCTAATTAAGGAATAAATAAGTAATAAGTTTTAACTTTCCGTGTTCTACTCTATAATTATGAGCTATATCATGAATTGTGTTATTTTTGTCATTATTCTTAAATTAGTTTTTCTACATTCTTTCTTTTCTTTAAATAAAAGAGCGGGGAAAAGCATAGATTTGTTAAAACTAGATAAATGTAAGAAATTTATTTAAGTAATATATTGTAAAAAATAAAAAATTGAGAGCAAAGTAACAAAACCTTCTGCCATCTAACGGCAGCTTCATAAAACTTTTCTATTAAAGAGATTCAAAAGTCGCCTGTTTGACCGACTAGATACAATAATTTTTCAAAAACTACAAAAATTAATTAAAATAATTTAAAGACTCTCAATATTTAAAATAAATATTAATAGTAAAAAAGGGCAACTGAAAACAAGACAGAATTTTGTATAGTTAAATTCTCGTTCTTTTTAATGAAAATATGTTTATTGATATAAAAACAAATAATCTTGTACTTGCAAGCTCTGATTACGTCCTACAAGGATTTTCTTTAAAAAGCTGTTCTTTGTCAACGATTTTTTTTGTTTGGTTATTCAGAATATTCTTTATCTTAGATATTTTAAAATTACCATCTCAAAATTTTTTACAAACTATAAGACACAATATTTTCACTTAAGGCCGAGCAATTCATTTTTTCTTAGTCTCAGA